GAGAAAGAAGAGTGAGGGCCTGTTGAGTTCCTTCCCTTTGATCTTAGTGACCTGCCCCTCATGCCACCCTGCAGACCCAGAAATACAAACTGACACCCAATTGCAAGGTTTCTCAGTGTCCATCTTCCAACCTATTCCCTGGACAAGTTGTGAAAACCCACTGTCCTGATCACATTCGCCTCCTCCTCCTCCTCCTCCTTCTTCTTCACCTTCTTCTTCTTGAGATTTTTATTTATTTGAGAGAGAGAGAGAGAGAACACATGTGCTGGTGGAGGGGACAGATGGAGAAGGAGAGAATCTCAAGCAGAAGCCAGGCTGAGCATGGAGCACGACATGGGGCTGAATTCCATGACCCTGAGGTCATAACCTGAGCCAAAATCAAGAGTTGGATGTTTAACTAGCTGAGCCGCCTGGGTACCCACTGATCACATTCTTACAGGGACCTCCTGGAGATTGGGTCTGGGTGTAAAGGTTGATAATGGCATCTGAAGCTTCTCTTCCAGCCTTTTCTTCCTAATCTGGATCTTCTGATGAGGGTTGATTTAAGAATAGTAGGACAAAGGAGAAGTGGGCTACCCTTTAGAGCAGGTTCCTTAACCTCAGCACTATTGATATTTGGGACAGGATCATTCGTTTAGTTAGGAGGTTGTCCTGTACACTGCCCGAGGTTCTGCAGCATCCCTGGACACTACCCATGGAATATCAGTAGTTCTACACACTCTGCACCTCCTGTTGTGACAATCAAAAATGTCTCCCGAAAAGGGGAACCCTCCTACACTGTTGGTGGGAATGCAAGCTGGTGCAACCACTCTGGAAAACAGCATGAAGGTTCCTCAAAATGTTGAAAATAGAACTACCCTATGACCCAGCAATCACACTACTGGGTATCTACCCTAAAGATACAAATGTAGTGATCCGAAGGGGCACGTGCACCCGAATGTTTATAACAGCAATGTTTACAATAGCCAAACTATGGAAAGAACCTAAACGTCCATCAACAGATGAATGGATAAAGAAGATGTGGTATATATACACAATGGAATACTATGCAGCCATCAAAAGAAATGAAATCTTGTCATTTGCGACGACGTGGATGGAACTAGAGGGTATCATGTTTAGCGAAATAAGTCAATCGGAGAAAGACAACTATCATATGATCTTCCTGATATGAGGAAGTGGAGATGCAACACCGGGGGGTTAAGGGGATAGGAGAAGAATAAATGAAACAAGATGGGATTGGGAGGGAGACAAACCATAAGTGACTCTTAATCTCACAAAACAAACTGAGGGTTGAGGGGGGGGAGGCAGGTTGGGAGAGGGGGTGGGGTTATGGACATTGGGGAGGGTATGTGCTATGGTGAGTGCTGTGAAGTGTGTAAACCTGGCGATTCACAGACCTGTACCCCTGGGGATAAAAATACATTATATGTTTATTTAAATAAATGAATTAATTAAAATGTGCAAAAAAAAAAAAGAAACGTTCAACTTCACTAATAATATGTTCAAATAAACTATTAGAAATCTAAAAAAAAAAAAATGTCTCCCGATATTGTCAAGTGTCCCATAAATGTCCCCTCCGCAGGTCAAAGTCTTCCCCTGTTGTGAACCATTACCTTAGAGGTAACTTCACCTACTCAAAAGAATAGGGCCCCCACATGAGGGCTACTTGTGATTATAACAGACCCCCGGATGTCTGCGAAATGGACTGACTGACAATCTCCTTCTTGGAATGTTCATCATGTCTGAGGCCAGACTTCCCCAGATGGTGGTGGGGGACTGTTATGGACTGAATGTCTACATATTCCCAAAATTCATATGTTGGGAGCCTGAATCCCTTATGGAAGTATAATTGGAGATAGAGACTTTAGGGAGCTGATTGGAGTTAAATGAGGTCATAAGGGCAGACCAGAATCCTATGGGAGTGGTGTCCTTATAAAGAGAGGGAGGGACGGACACCAGAAACCTCTCTCTGTCCACGTCAACACACAGAGGAAAGGCCACATGAGGACACAAAGAGAAGGTGGCTCTCTACAGGCCAGAAGGAGAGACCTCAGCAGAACTGACCTTGCTGATCCTTGATCTTAGACTTCCAGACTCCAGAACAGTGTTATGCAATGCCCCATTCTGTGGCATCTTGTGAAGGTAGCCTGAGCTGACTCAGACAGGCAGTCTGTGCACCTCTCCAAGAGGGAGAACACCCCTATGGTCTCTTGGAACCACAGGTAGCCTTGTCTCATCGAGACATATACTGGCCTGTTAGATGGAGAGTGGCCCAACAAAACCAGATGGGAGGGCTCTAGGGTTCCTTATAGAAATAAGCAATGATTAATCACTGATATTTTTAATAAACACTACAACTGGCCAGTCAAGTGACTCTTCAGCTTTCCAAAGAGCCACTGTGAATAGGCTCCCTTCTCCCTTTCAGGGCAACATTAGAAGGCATGCTCAAGGAGTAGAATATTTTGGTTGGCTGATTTTTTTTTTTTAAACTGAACTTTAAACTCTTTCAGAGGTGTACCCAAAGTTTTATGTTGAAATCTTTTTAAAATATGCACTTAATTCTTAATAAATGCATTTGTCAACTGAGGATTTTGCAGATCTGGAAATTTTCACTCTGAGCATCATTTCCTCTTGTAGGAGACAGTAAGAGAATATAGCATAGAAATTTTAACTAGGTATGGAAGATCCGGAGTACTCCCAGGATATTGTTTTCACAATAACAGTTCAATACCCGGTATTAGCTTTTCTTGGCATTTTTGACACTTTCTCTTAAACCCTGAGGAAAGGAGAGGCAGCAGCCATCCTGGTCAAGCATTATTTGTAAAATGAGGTTGTAACGTCCCTTTGCTTATGTTCAGAACCATTGCCCTGGACCTCAAGGCCTTGATGATAGACACAGATATCAGCAGAAGAACTTTTTGGCTGGTCCATCTAGGAATGAGAGAGCTCATCAAACAGAGAATGTGAAATCTCTTGAGATTCACCTTGGAAAATGGTGGAGTCTGGTTCCCATGTTCTAGAAGAATGAGGTTCAGCCTATGAAGAGCTCCCTGGGGCCAGGACTGCTGTGTGAATTGGTCAGCCCTGTTTTCATCTTCTGTCACCATGTCCTCAGCCTGGAGCACTCCAACAGTCTCCAGCTGTCCTCCCTGCAGAGGACTGGCCTCCTCCACACCACTCTACATACGACAGTTATAGTCTTCTTTCTAAAGAAAGTTTGGTCCTGTTACTTCTTCAAATCAGCAAGGATGGACCTCACATTGTTTTTAGAGGAAAATCGAAGCTCCTTCAGTGAAAGAAGCCAAATACAAGAAACCAGATATTGTGATTTCTTTACATGCAATACCCAGAAAAGGCAAAACTGCAGGGACAGAAAGTAGATTAATGGTTACCTGAGGTGGACATGGTGAAGTGGAGATTAAGAGTAATGTGCACAGAGCATCTAGTTGGAGTAATGAACATCTTCTAAAGCTGATGTATGGTGATGGTTGCACAACTTGGTTAACTTTACTTAAAAATTATTGAATTGTACATTTGAATAGGGTGGATTACATATGAAAAATTGAGAAATATTCAAGCACCTTATTATACTTACCAGGTGCTCCATGATACAGTTTCTAATGAATTCTCCTGGCTTGGGCTCCATCTCACCCCTCCCTCTCTCTGAATACTGGACACACACTGGCCCTGGTTCAAGTCCTCCAAGTGTCTTGTTCTTCCTCTGGGCTCCCACCTGCACCTTCAAGCACCTGCTGTGACCTCCCTCCCCGCTGCCTGACCCACATCTGGCTGATAACCCCTCAAAGCTCAACTTTCTGTAGGATGGATGCCCTTGTCCACCCGGATGAGCTTAGGACTCTGTTCTGTGCCCCCATACCTAGGTTTTGTACACCTGGACTTTGTCTCTCATGCCACTGATCACATTTTGCTGTGGTTATTTGTGTAATGTCTGTCTCCCTTACTGGTATATAAGCCCACACATAATTTGTCAACAGTGATATTCCAAGGCACATAGTCAGATTTTAGAAATATTAATTGTGTGGTTAAATTTAAGAATGAGGCACAGAGGCCAAAAGACCAGGCAGCTCTTCCAAGAGCACATAGATTTATTGAGAACCCAGTCTTGCTCAATGGAAGGTACACATTTTAGTCTTTCCCTAGGGACTACATGTGGAATAGAAGAGGGATATGGGAGGGAGTGGCATGATGAGGTACAGAGTGCAAAGATCACAGATGTGAGGATGGGAGGGTGCGGGAAGGGGTATGTGGAACAAGAGAGAATAAACTTGGGAGTCATGGGTTCTCGTCTAGCTTTGGGATGCTGGGTGAGAAAATTAAGCTCCCTGGTCTTCTTCTTTTAGCCTATGAAAAGATTTTTTTTTAATTTGTACAGTCTCTCTTGGCTCAAATATTCTATAATTCCAGTCATTCTACTAGACTAGAGCTTCTCAATGTCAGAATCACCAGGGGTGTGTGTTACAAAGGTAGACTCCTAAGCCCCACCCAGGTGTCTGGATCAGTCTCTGTGCAAGTGCGGCCAGGGGATCCCCATTTTAACATACTCTTGGGTGATTTTTTTTTTAATGCAAGTTTGTGAAAGGGTGGGAAATGCATCTATCTCCTTCACTCACATATCCCAAAGCTCCACCCAATGTAGCACAGAAATAGGATGCTCAATAACTATTTCTTGATGGGTGAGTAAGTAAATGTTATAGTCACAGAAATGGGGATATCTTGCTTTAACCAAGGCAGAAGAGGAAGAGGGTTGCTGCCTCATTATGGTCTATGGTAGCTTCCTTCCTCTTTGGGGCTGAATTCTCCATTTATAAAATATGGTGGTTGGACTAAGTGGCTCATAGGAATTCTCTTTGCCTTAATAACCCACAGCACCATGAATCTGTAATATGGACAGCACCACGAATCAATGCTTTCTGTTTCCCTTCGCCTTCCTCCTTGACAGATGAGAAAGAATCAAGGTGAAAATCAACAACAACCCAGAGATTCGTTGTGAGTTTTAATAGGAGGGGTGGAGTCTGACAGTTTAGAGGAACGTATAAAAAGACCTTTTACTTTTTGTTGGAACATGATATGGTTTGTGCATAGCACATACATATTAAAAAATAGAAGCATCACATTTTACAAGCACATGACTGAACAAATTCTGGGTTTTTCTACTCACTTGACCCAAACTTGAGGACAGCTCTGCACTGGGACCCAGTCTGAGGTACTTATTGATTTATAGAAGGGGGAAAACCACATGAGGACACAGCTGTCTGAGTGCTGGAATTTCAGTAGTTCAATGAGGTATACAAACATGGTTCTGTGCTGGCTCTTGGCATGACGGACTAGATTCAGGATCTGTTTTGGGTGTAATCACTCCCTCCTTCCGTTCTGGGAAGAGGAAACATCAACTCAGGTGTAAGTACAGAATGGAGTTATTTCTATCTTCTCTCCTGGTCTTGTCCCAATCATTCTGGGAGGTAGCAGAATGAGTGGCTATTCCTGGCCAAGTGGAGGGGCAGGGGACAGATTTGAGAGACCCACTTCCTAGACACGAAAGTGGCAAGTGGCAGAGAGTCCCTCCTCAGTGACATCTGACCCAGAGCCTTTGGGGACAGAAAGTTATAGGCGCTTTCTAGCTTCTGTCCACGTGAAAAGCAGCAGAAGGGGATAGACAGAAGAGAGAATAACCCTGTGTCTTAGGGGCCAGTGACTACTTTTGGTAGATATGTTTCCACCAGTGGCCATGGCACATAATGGGCAAGGGCAGTGGACCTACAACTCTGGGAGGAAGGAGAACTACAGCTTGTGAACTTTCATACATCTTTCTCTCTTAGGATTCTACTGAATGATAACTTGAAGGCTCTGATGTCTAGGACAAGAAAGGGGCTCAGCACCATCATGAGAAGAATTCCAAACTTCCCAGCATGTGACAAGATCAGGAGAGAATTTCAGGCCTGGGTTACTGGCCTGAGAAAATCCTATATGACTAAAAAGGAGAGAGGTTTGTAGCCTAGATCAGGAGAGAGGAGAAAATATTGTCTTTCCTGAGCCATAGAATGGGGTGCATATGCTGGATGTGTTGTGGGATGTGGCAGCAGAGGGGGAAGGCTGTGAAGGATAATGGTAGGGTGTTACAACATTATATGCTGCCTTTCATGGGAGGTTCAAAGATGCATGGCAAGTAGGAAGGGAAGGGGTATTAGAAGGCAGCAAATGATGGAGCAAACACAATCAATAGTTTCAATGGGGCAGCTGGGGTTTTTTGGTTTCCTCTGAGGTCCACCCATTGTCCTGAGGAGAGTGCAGACTCTACAGGGTGCCTGGAACTCCCCTATGGTTTCTGAGCTCACATCTCCCCAGCTAAGAAGTTCACTCCAAGAATGTGCTCGTACGTTGCTCTCATTTTTATAGTTTGCTCTTGAAGAAGGAATAAGGCAGCGTCTGGGTTCTGGAGTCCCAAGTTTGCATGGAGCTGCCAGAGAAGGTTCAGGATAGGAGAGAAGCCAATGACTACAAAACTCTATAAACCAGGATCATAGCTTGGGATCTGGGAGAGAGACGACCTAAGCTGTTCATAGTACATGGCAGCAGGAAGGTGAGGGTCATTCTTTCCCCTGCCTATGCGATGTCTGCTGCAGCCTTTTGGACCCAACAGGGCTGAGAGCTCAGTCTGGAACTCAGTAGACATGGTGATCAGATACACCTGTGCACAGACATAGTTGCAAGGGAGAAGGGACTGAGCAGTCCTTTGCTGATCTTCCTTTGTTCCTGCCCACTTCTATGGTTGGAGAGTGACTTGTAAGCCTAAGCCACTTACAGATTGAAGAGAAAGCTCTTGGGAGAGAACGCCTCTGGATAGAAGACATTTCAAAGAGTCAATGATGCATCCCCACATCTACGAATATATTCAGAATGTTCAATGACTGCTATAGCATAGGCTCCGGTACCAGTTAGGACAGATGCCCTGATGCTAGGAAGCAATTCTAGTCATAGGCAATGGGTGTGTTGGTGCCTCTGCATGGTGACTGGATAGCAAGCCTGCCTGGTCCCAGGCACGTCTTAGCTTCTCCTTCTCATTCCTAGCCTGAGATATGGAAGTGGACTTTTGGAGGAACTTCTTGTCAGCATCTGAGCACTTTTATGAGCCTCCAGAAAGATGCAGACAAGGTCTAGCAGTCTGAGGCCTTGAGATTCCCTTGAGAAATGTATCCCCTCTCATGCCAAGTTGGCTCAGAGGTTTAGGAAGAAAGGAACTAACACTTTGGGACCTAACACTTTTCTGCACTCCCAGAGCCTTTCTGCACTCCCAGCACATTCCATTGGGTATGGCTACGTGCCCCGGGTTCTGAGTGCATCAGTTTCTGATGTATCCTGTCAAAGAGACCAATCAATTACTCTGGACAAGATAATCAGCTTTGTCCTCTGCCTCCAAGCAGACCTGCACTTTGAATATTCCAAATGGTCAAGATGGACCAGTTTTCTCCCCCTTCCAGTTGACCCAAGACCCCAGCTCCTGCCAGTTTCTTCCAAGGCGGTGTCATGTCCACTCTTGCTCCTGAGCTCTTACTGTCTGTTCAATCTTTGCTCACCTTTGTGGGGCCTTTTCCTCCTCATCCAGCACATGTCCTCCCTGATGTGTGCCAGACAGAGAGGTAGCCTGTAGGATGCCTCTGCTGGGTGGCCAACCTCCATGTCCAGCTCACAGTCACTCCGCTCAGATCTATCTATAGATGGTTGCATCTGCAAATAGAGAGGTATGTCGAAGACGAAGGCATTTGCAGCAGATGGGGGGTTGTCTTCCAGGCAGGGGGCCCCTGAGAGTAGCGGAGGGTGTCAGGTCATTCTGTAACTTGATGGTTCACGTATGCCGAAAATATTTGCACTCTGATATGGCTCTCTCTGGTTTCAGATTTAGGAACATTCCAATCGTTCAGGAATCTGAAGGCTCCAGGCAGACAACATTTATAGTTACTTGGGGGGAACCTCTGCTTTAAATACTCTCAAAGGACAGGAGGCAAGAAGGCATTGTACAGCAAGGAGCTGTTACAGCTTGGCTGCTTGAGTTCATAGGATTATCACTCTTCTCTTACTGTAGGGGGGCCAGAGGGGGCAAACTCTGGAGGTCATGGTGCCCATTCTACTGCATCCAGCTACCAGTGTGTATGCGAGATGAGGATGACCAAGAAGGAAGTGAGAGTATCAGATGAGGACTTGGGTGAGTTTCCTGGACGTAGCTGGAGAGGAATCATCATCTGCAGTCCAAGCCTCTCTACTTCCTTCATGCCCTATTTTGTACCCCCTCACCCCTCGCCAAAGAGGTTGCCATTATTAGGATCCTTGTCATCTGAGGTTAAAATAAGACCCAGTTCAAAGTGAGGAAAAGTTATGGGCAGGGAGCCTGGCCCCGGCTTGTTCTTGGAGTCACACACAGCACTGAGTCCTCCAGGCCGAATGGCACTCCGCAGGTCATCCAGTCCCTTCCGCCGCTTCCAGCAGGCCTTCCCCAGCTGCCCGAGACATAGCTCTACCCCATTTCTGCAAGAAGAGGATCCCTTCTCCCCCAGCTTCCCTGTCAGGGCAGCCCAGTGTCCCCGGAGCCCTCATAGGCAGGAAGTTTGGAGCCTGCCCACTTTCTTTCTGGTTTGCAGATAAACCCTACTCTCCCTCCCATCCTGCCCTCCATGCTTAGAGGACAGCTGCTCCCACTGCCTGTGCAAGCCACGCGTGCATGTGAGTGGCCTCTGAATGGAAGGATGATTGGGAAGTGGCACAATGAGAGTCCACATCAATCTTGCTGGTTTGACAGGAGACATTCTTGCAGGCAGATTCCTGCTGCAGTGATCCTGGGAGAAAGAAACCCGACGCTCTGCCATGCCTTTGCTCAGACCGTCTACACAAAGATGTGTGGATATCCACCAACACACGCACATGCTGCCACGCTGGCCTTTCCCTGTGCACATGGTCACATGCCCCGTGTAGCTTCTTCCCTCACTTGAGTTCAGAGCATGTATCCATCGCCATTCTAGAATGTTGGTTGCAAGCCCTCTCTCTTGGATTGGTTTCATACCATAGGGTCTGGTATGGCTTCTCCCCAAGCACAAGAGAAGCCTGACTCAGGAGTCGTGGGGGGCAAGGGGGATTGTTCATTTGTGCAAAATTCTGATACAAAAGATGTTGCTTTCAATCTGAAAGCCTCCTTTCAGAGTCCTTATATCCTGGGAAGGAAGTGAGTGACAGTCATGATGGGGGACACCTTGCTGCCCCGCTTTACCCGTCCGTATTTGCTCAGTGCGATGTAGGTCCCTCGGTACAGGTCTGACTCGTAGGCATTGTAATTGTTGGGCAGGAGGGTTTCTCTGAACTTGCATTCCTCTTGGAAGCTGGGCTGCCAAAGAAATGGACAAACAGTAGAGGCTCAGTTACAAATGAGGTGTAATGGTCCCCCTACCAGGTGCGCCTCCCCTCCTCTCTGTAAGACAACCAGCAGGGATTCTGAGCCATCCTAGGTGAACTGGGTCATGGAAGGTCAAAAAGGAAGAGAATTCTGAGCTGTTGGGTCCTTCTCACGTTCTCTCCTTTAGGATGAGGAAACCAAGGTCCAGGGACATCGATGGTCTGTATCACAGGGGGTGGGTCTCCTGACTTTCAGTTTAGGGCGCTCTCCATTTAGCACCTCGCTGATAATTTATTTCATTCAGGAAAGGATACAATAGGCTTTTTTCTCATGTCCACTGTGAGAGGTGGTCTAGTGGAGCAGGACTGGGAGCCCGGGCTCCACTTAGCTTCCCTGCTTTCTAGCTGTGTGACCTCGGGCAGGATCTTCCTCTCAGCCTTTGTTGCCTTTCCTGCAACCTGTGTCCTGGGTGTGCAGGTCTTTTCCAACGCTGCCTGTTGACTATGTTAACCATTTCTTCTTTTCCCTGGTGTCCCCTCACTCTCTTTCCCAGGTTATGCCCTAGGTTTGCAACCCCTTAAAGAGGTTCATTCTTGGTTTTGACTTTGAACCCAGAAGATGCCCGGTGCCTCCTCGACATTCATGGCAAGTCTGGGAACAGAAATGGTGAGGAGCAGCCATTTCTATGGGGAAGAGAACCTGGTTCCCTCTGCGGCAGGTGGTGCCAGGGAGTCTGGGGCCAGTGATAAATCAGCCCCTTCAGTGCTAATTTTGTAGAGAAGCGTGTGTGGACCATCTGTTCAGAAAATGAAGGCTGAACTTCCTGTCACACATCAACAAGTTCATTCCCGCTACATCACCCATGTCCTCCTTTATTCCTAGAAAAGAGGGCCCTTCCTCTCCAGGCTTCTGGGGCCCCTGCTGAGGGAGGCTGGGGAGATTTCTGTGCATTGGACTGGGAACGGCTCTGTGAGCTCTAGAGGAAGAAAGTGCAAGATGAGAGCCAGGAGATCTGGGGTCCAGTCTCGAAAGAAGTACAGAATGAAACAAAAAGAGAGAGGTGGGATGTAATTTCTGACTCCTTCCTGCTGACTGAGGCCATCGGCTATAAAAAGCCCACTCAATGGCCCGCCGGCTGTGCCAGAGCTGTCATCTGACCTTCTCTGAAGGAATCATACTGTGAGCACCCTGGGCTGGCGGAGGCGGGGGTTGGACCAGAGCCTCTTCCTGTTATGAACGGAGGGTGATGAGCTAGCTCACTGGGCTCCCAGACCCCTCCCCCCCACTCCCCCACCCCCCGAGCTCTTTGGGTGCACCTGCACCTCTCAGGCAGCACATACAAGAGTGTGTGATCCCCAGGGACAGCTTCTTCTATCCCAATAGACTCCAAGTAGCCCAAGACAAGGACTGTGTCTTGTCAGGTATGTGACGCTGAATGGACCATGATTTAACAGGGGCAACAGCAAGGCAGATGCATACCCCTCCCCCTCCTACTCCATGGCTGGCTCCTTCAATGCAGCATGAGAGTGAGCAAGAAGCAGTGCAGTGTAAGGAGGGAAGGGCACACTCCCTTTCTGCCCTTTGTCCCTTCCTTCTTTCCCCCATTTATGGTTTAAAAGGCACTTCCACAAGTGCTAATTTACGTGGGATGAATATGAAAGCTTCAGCCAGCCACACCAGCTGACTTCCTAGCACCACACTGGGAGCTTGGATTTTCCCAAGCTGGCCTTGTTATGGATGGTCAGTAAGTATTTGTGGAAGGACGGTCCCAAAGGCAGAGAGAATAAACTAAACAAAGTAGGTAAAAAGCATAGTTGTGCACTAGTTTGAGGGTACATTGAGGATGATTTACCTCTTACTTAGCTCTGTGAACATGGGCATGTGGTTTAACCTTCCCTCCTCTGACTTAACCTCAGTTCTCTCATCTGTACATTGGGGGACAGTAAGAATAATTGTGCCATAGAACTGGCGTGAGCATGAATTGAAATAACATACAGCAAGTCGTTGGTATAACACCTGGCACGTAGTGAAGTAGAAAATATTGTTATTACTATAATTCTTCTCTATCACAAACTACTTTACATTAAAAGCCCTGCAAGTCTGTCTTACCCTGGATTGCCCTTCCTGCAAAACCTGCTGTGGGTTATGACACATTTTTGGTTTTAAACTCTGTAGTTATGGACTGAATGACTTCGAGACCTTGAGCTTGTATGAGAAGAGCACAGAACTAGGGTACACAGAGGCTGATGCTCCAGCACTGCTCTTTGGGGCCTCTCTGGACCATGGTTTCTTTACCTGTGCATGGCATGTAGGGTCAGCCACAAGGAGCTAAGATTGTTGGTGAGCAAAGCTCTGAAACAACAACACTAGGAGAAAGTACACTAGGGATTGATTGTAAATTTAACTGAGAAATAAAACTACACCGATTAAAAGTCTGGTGCAGGGGCACCTGGGTGGCTCAGTCAATTAAGCTTTGGGCTGTCCATTTCGGCTCAGGTCATGATCTCAGGGTCCTGGGATTGAGCCCCACATGGGGCTCTGCGCTGAGCATGCCTCCTGCTTGGGATTTTCTCTTTCGCTCCTTCTCTCTCTGCCACTGCACACCTGCCCGCACGCACATGTATAGCACATATTCTTTCTCTCTTTCTAAAAAGAAAAACAGGTCTGGTGCAGATCGATGAACAAAATAGAGTCCAGAAGCAGAAGTAGATCCAAATATATGTCAATATAAAATAAAAATGGATCTGAAATTTATATAAAATAAAAGCATTTCAAATCACTAGAGAGAAGATGGGGTTGGAACAACTGGATAATATCTAATAATAATAATAGTAATAAAGTTTGACTTGTTATTTCATTCCTTACGTTACAATAAATTCTACAACTAGCAAAGATTTAAATGTGAAAATGAAAGCCTTAAAAGTCCAGAAAAAATTTGTTTCAATAATCTTGAGTCGGGAAGCTCTTTTTGAGCAGGACACAGAAAACTAGACACCATTAAAAAAGCAAAACCAATAAATTTTACTTCTGCCTGGAAAAAAAAATTGCCTCAAAACAAAAATATAAATAGCAAACTCAATTAAAAAATAGTTGCATAAGAAAATAGTTGCCATGTCGGGGCGCCTGGGTGGCTCAGGACGTTGAGCTTCCAACTCTCGCTCAGGTTTTGATCTCAGGGTCGTAAGTTCATGCTGGGCTCCATGCCAGGTGTGGAGCCTACTTAAAATAAATAAATAAATAAATAAATAACAAAACCCAATAAAATGAAAATAAAAAATAAAAAAATAGTTGCAATGTATATGTGTCAGAGAGTACAATTTTGTTACTATATGCAGAACCCTTAACTGAGAACTGTTTATGAACAGATCATTCACAGAAAAGGAAATACCATTAACATTTGAACATGAGAAAATATACCTAATAAGAGAAATCTAAGTCAAAATGGTGAGACATTTTTTAACTGTTTGATTAATAGAAGTCAGATGTTTGAAATTTTTCTTTTTTAGAGAGAGAGATAACATGTGAGCAAGGTGGGGAGGGGCAGAGGGAGAAGGAGAAGGAGAGAGAATGTCAAGCCTTCTCCACGGCTAAGCTTGGAGCCTAATTCGGGTCTCCATCTCGACACCCTGAGACCATGACCCAAGCCAAAATCAAGAGCCCTGACGCTTAACTGACTGAGCCACCCACGTGCCCCTTGATAGTATTCTTCCCTTGGTGAGAGCATGAAGACTAGGAATTCTCATTTAATGTCTCTGGGTATCTATATTGTAATGAGCTCTATACAGAGCAATTTGACAATATCTTCTAGAATGAAAAAGGACTACTAATTCTTCTTCTAGGAATTTATCTTACTGGCACACTCCTACACATGTACAAGGGTTACTCGCTGCAACATTTACGTAATAGTAAAAGACCCAAAACCACAAAGTGTCTATTAGCAGGGAAGGAGTTAGTTCAGTTCTGGCAGAGTCCCACAATTGAATACTATGAGCCATGAAACATACGGAACCTCCATGTGCATGAACTTGAAATGGTCTCAAAGTCATACTGGTAAGTGAAGAGGCAAGCTTCGAAATGGTGCGTAGTGTGCTCTTATCCGTGTGAGTTTATAAGGTTAACAATGAGGGCACACTCACAGGGACACAGGTTCTTCCTGGAGCAACACACAAGGATGGGTAGTGTCTTTCACTGGGGAGGTAGATAATAGTGGCTTCAAACGACAGTGAGAAAGGAACTAAATTTACACGGCATGTTCTTTTGTACCTTCTCCCTCCATCCCCCGCCCCACCATG